CTCAGCGGGCAGCTTGAGGGTCTCCAGCTCACTGAGAGAGCGCTGCAGTGCGGTTCCGTGCTTGGCAATCAGGTCATTACAGGTGCTGAGGTCCTCCACCTTACTGGAGAGAGTGCGCAGGGTATTCTGCAGTTCAGTCTTGTCTGTCTGAGAAACCGATTCTTCATCACCTGACTCATCTGTGAGGAATAAGCTAGAGTTGTAATACTTTCAACAGCCCCATCTCTGAACTCAGCACATCCCACATCCCCATATCCTTCTTTGCCCCCCAGTATGGGGAAGTACCTTCACAGAATTATGAGGTAAGATCCCATAATACAGAATGACAGACTTTCAGCTATCTTAATCCAGACTGGTGCCGCTGAAAACAGTTTGAAGTCTTAGTTCACTAGCTCATTTGAAGCAAAGAATGGAATTCCTACCCTTCAGCACAGAATTAAAATGTTAACTGAGATACTGCAGATGTTCAAAACAGATCACTAGAAACCTCCAGACTATACAGAGATCATCAGCCATAGTTCTTCCTTTTAGCATTAGAGGTCCCCACTATGTAAAGTGGGATGTAAACAACAGAGATGTACGGCAGAAGCTTTCCAGTGCTTTGGTTTTCTGCAGAATATTTTCCATTTCTAGATCCATTGCTTCTTAACAACAATGAATGGATGGCAGGTACAATATCAGGTAAGTTTTGTAGTTTCAAAGTTGTAATTAAGGGTTTTCATGTGATTTCCCATACAAACTACAAGAGAATATATCATCCTTTAATGATTTGTAAGAAGGGATGGAGGATGAAATTATAAATATGAATGCCCCCAATTCGCTATGCAGGTAAAAACAAAACCAAAGTTAAAAATTCTCTTGAGGTAGAAAGGCTGTTGTAGCCCCATCTAATATGGAACCAACAAGTCATGCAAGGGATGAGGTGATGCAATAACCTCAACAGACAAGACAGCTGGGACAGAGGAGAGGATAAGGGCATCCACGGGGACATTATGCATTTGGGGGGTGGGGGGTGGGGAGTGCAAAAATTACTGCTGTTTTTAGTGCTTTCATTTTTCTTTCTCTTACATTTAAACAGTGTAAGGAAAACATGCAATACTGTCTTTAAATATTAAAAGTGTTATTTCAATAACAGTATTTTCTACACACAGCTTTGAATTTGTTCGAATATAACCACACTTGATTTTTTTAGAGGGGTGGGGTGAGTAAAGGGGAAGCAGGAAAAGGGCCGCCAAGGGGATACAGAGGAAAGTGAAATCCCACCATAAATCCTTGCAGGTCCCTTGCTTGTATTTTAACTAATGTAACTCATATTCACAAGATGTGATGAAGGCCACTGGATTAGATCACTTTTTTGAAAGGGCTGGCTGGACAAATTCAATTTTTAAAAATGGCCTCCATTCCTGGTGTTTTCTTAGCCTAATCATAACAAGAGAAAAAAGAGAGAGCTGGGGAAAGGGGCTAAAAATGTCATGAGGCTAAAATATAGTGAATATTTGCAACTCTGACATCTGAGGGCGACCGGCCTGACTAAATGGACGGAACAGGGAGCGTGTAAGTCTGTGCTGCCCGACAGCAGATGGCTTCAGGACAGTGATTGAAATTCTCCACCATAAATGTGCCAAATGCCTCTTTACGGATATCCAGCCTTTAGAACATGAAAATGTAAGAAATGCTTCCAACAGTAAATGGTGGAGGGTTTTCTACTTGTTTTCCTTTCTACAAAAAGCAAATCTCTACCACGCAGAAAGACAATTCAGAGAGGGATATGTCCAGAGAAGAAAACTGGATACGGATTATTTTTAAAACCTGTTTTTAATACCTACTTTTAATACAAAAGTAGCAGAATCCTCTAGGAAAACACGGTGCCCAAGAACTGAGGGCACACAATCATCTCGGCCCGAGGCTGCATGATCCCATATCGGGATGGTCACTTGACCCTGCCTTGGGATGGTCAGTTTACCCAGTCAAACAAGCCAGCTACGGACAGACACTTGAGCTCAGCAGCCATCAGGTTTCACAGCGTGGCTCAGTCGACTGAGCGCTCTATGGAGGGCAGCTCCAGTATCGACCGCTGCGGTGTGTTTTTGGCTCCCACGGGGGGTCTGAGGAACCTGATGCTTAAAAAGAGAGGCCTTTTTCAGGAGCCTCATATTAAAGTACAAGGTCCCCAGGTTGCTTGTTGCCCGCCTTGGTAGGACAAACACATGATCCAGAGGACACTGAGCAATTTGAGTATCAGGCATTCGGCAGAAATCCTTGCCCCAAGGAGTTGGAACTGTAAATAGGATGGAACAGGACAAACGGGAAGACATGTTCTCTCATATGAATGCTGTTGCATGCTTAGAATAGACCAGACACTGTCATCCATAGGATCTTAACCCTATACATGTTTCAGGCACAGGGTTTCAAAGTGCCAGAGGAAGCCCAAGAGGGGGGAGGGGAGGGGAGTGGGAGGAAGAGATGGCTGAAAACTCCACACTGGCCTGGTGATGCCTCCGCTGCTTCCCACTTGCACTACTGTCATCAGCCAACACCAAACCTGCCCTGTTCCGAGAGAATGAAGACGGGGGGGCAGAGAGTGCGTCCTTCCCCAATGAGCCACCACTCCGCCCCACAGCTTATATGTATTGCCCCAACTTTACCTGATTCTGCCAGCATCTTCACCGCTTTGGCCTTGGCCAGCTCCAAGGCTGTAACCCAGCGCTGCCTCTCAACTTCTGAGCTGGCTTTCAAATGGTAGGTCTGTGCCCCGCCATTGGAAATGATAAAATTGCAGGAGTCCTCTACTGTAATATTGGCTGTGGCCAGGTTGATGGTACCCCGGCAGGTGTGCCGCATCTCTGCCTTGGATCTGTGAGCAGGACACATGGGGGGAACCAAACATGTAAAAGGTATTAGAGGTCTGAGCGGAAAAGAAGCAACAAACCACCTTCTAGAACAATCAGCACCCAACACTGTCTCCTCTTTCCTAGACAATACAGAAAGATAACACCGTCAAGTCATAGTTGATAGTTTCAGAATAGAAACAGAGCTAAGCAAACAATTATGATGTCAAACCTCACACCCAGTTCTGTTTGCCGTAACAAAAGGGGGAAGGGAAATTCCTACAGGAAGGGGAGTGATAGATGGATGTGTGAGCCGTTTGCTCTTAGCGGCATAACTTTCCCAAGGATGATACCTCCTCCTGGGGCGGGCGGGGGGGGGGATGCTTGGAGACTTTCTGGAGCCTGATTGCTTTATAGGTAGTGGGATACTGCATTCCCATGGGGGGGTAGATGTAATGGTTAGGTGCATTGTGACGTGTGTGTGTGTCTGACCTGCTATTGGGGAGGGATCCTTTCATATTGCCTATATTAACTAGGTGTCAGAACCCACGGCCAACAACGTATACACGCTTTCAGAAAAGGTAATACTTTATTGAAGAGCTATAGATGCATTAACTGTTAAGAATGGTGGCTGCCCCTGGGCATAATAGGATATAGGGTATTCGTATGCACACACACACCCCCCCACTGGCCTGGCCAATGAGCCACCCTCCCGCGCGCAGGAGAAAAGAGCTCTGGATGTTTAGCACTGAAGCTGGGAACCAAACTCTCTCCCACGGCTCCCGAGAAATCCAGACATCAACATCACCACCTGCAGAACTTGTAGATAAGCATTGCAGCAGCGAAGAAGCACAGAAGGAATGCAGAAGCAATTAGAATACAACCAACCTCCCCACCCCCATGGCAGCATAGCTGACACTAGGTACTCACCGAAATCGTTAGTGCTAACACAAGAATGCTTTAACCTGGAACTTGCTTACTTTTCTCAATAAACAAATCTTTGCTGAAGAGAGTGTTGTTGAGAGTAACTCGACCAAGAGTCTGACAGAGTGTTAGAACTCCCTTTACTCTCCCCAACCATCACCCCACCACCGTGATGGCAGATGAATGCGGAGGTGCTGGGGCGAGTGTGGGTATCGGCTCTGAAACCAAGAACACCCAGCTACCGACCCCAACCAAAAGCACGGAGAGAAAACCACACGCACCAAACCTGAGAAGCAAGTGCTCTTCAAGGCGAAGAGCAGGCGGGAGAGCAGCAATTGACGGGAAGAGCCCGCCTGGCTCCTAAACACTTTGGGACACAGAGGAGCGCAGAGGCGCCCAAATCGGGAGAAGAGACGAGTACCGCACACTTTCCACGACAACCCGGAGTAAATGAGATTGATGGATGAGCATGGGGAGGAGGCTTATGCCAACCGGAGCCACACCAACCTCCGAGCTGAGGTGAGGGAATTAAAGGAGGAGCTCCAATTTCTCATCAAAAACTTCCCATAAGTGGTGAAAGAATGGATGGAGAAGTCCGAAGAAGAGGAACCTGAAGAGCCAACCTCGGCGGCGGCCCATCCGGAAGGAACCAGAGAGGGAAAGGCCCCAGGATGCTTTGGAAGCGACTTTCAATGGCAGCCCCGGGAAGCTAGCCTTCTTCACCATACAGGTGCGCAAGTTCCTGCGAGAGTGGGGATACACTTTTGCTTCCGATGAACACCAAGTAGACTATGTGGGGTCCCAACGAGATTGTGCTGCTGAGTGGTTCATGGGGCTTTACGACGTCGGGCGCTATGCCAGCAGTATGAAGACCCCCTTGAGCTGGAGAAAGCCCGTACCCGACTCCGGGGATTGAGGCAAGGGAGCCAGAATACTCGGATGAGTTCAAGACCTACGCAGCCAAGCTCCAGGGGTGGCCAGAAGAAGTCTTCAATGAGTTCTACCGCGCCAGCCTTAACACCACCATTCTAGAGAAGGTAGTGGCTCAAGGCAACCCCTTAACTTTGGGTGGCTGGATACAAGTAGCTTGCGAAGCAGAGAACTGGCACAATCTAGTGAGGCTGTACCAGCAAATGACACCCTGGAAAAGCATGGGGGGGGGAAGCCAAGCCGAGGTAGGGGCCACATGCCCGAAAGAGACCGGGAGCACCAGATGCGACTGGGGTTGTCTTCGGTGAAGGAAATCTGGGCCCTTTGTGGTGAATTGCCCAGGCACGAAGAGCCTGGACAGAAAGCAACGTGAAGGAATCAAGAAGAAACCAAAGACCCCAAGTAAACATCCCACGACACCCAAAGCATTGCAAGCCAAGACCCGAGATACCTTGGAGGGGACCTCATCCAGTGGAAGCAAGTCTCCTCAGCTGGCAGGAAACCTACTGAGAAGGGCACCAGTCGGCAGGTTCGAGAGAACACGGCGCAAGAATCGGTGAGACCCTCCCCCCCAATCTCTATTTAACTGTAACTATAATCAACCATGAAGGGGGAATGCACATTAAGGTGCGGGCCTTAATAGATTCTGGTTGCACCCAGGACTGAATTAGCACAGCCATTGTAACTGGGTTGGGGTCCAAGGTACATAACTGAGGGTACCCATAGTATGTACCCATATGGATGGGACCCCAATGCAGGCCTGTCAGCATCATACTGTTCGTCTACCCATGGGGATATCTGCCCAATGGGAAATGAGGTCTTTCATAGTGAACCTGTCTGCAAAGTTCGCCATGGTCCTTGGCAGCCCATGGCTCAAAGCACACGACCCCTATGTACAATGGAGTACTTTCCTTGACTCTCGGTACCAAGAGCACCTATGGCATCCTGAATGGGGGAGGGAGCCACAGCCAGTGGCCAAGCGAGTCTGTCTCGCACAAGATGAGTTGAACCTCATCCTACCAGAATATAGAGACTTAGCTCGGGTGTTTGAAGAGTGAGAACCGGATGAGTTACCCCCCCATTGCAAAACTGACTGTGCTACTGAAGTCCTGCCGGGCCACAAACTGCCTAAAGGGAAACTGTATTCAGTGAGCCCCGTTGAGAAGGAAGAACTGCGGCGGTTCATTGACAAGAATGTGGCTTGGGCCTTCATCTAAGCAGCCACCTCCCCTTGTGCTGCCCCGGTGTTGTTTAGGAAAAAGAAAGACGGGGGGCTGAGGCTGTGCACGAATTACCGAGGGCTGAATGCAGTAATCCATGTTGAATGCTTTCCCCCTCCCCCTCATTAAGGACCTGCTAGAGTAATACCCCCTCCCCCTCATTAAGGACCTGCTAGCTGAGGCCTCACAAGGCCGAATTTTTTCTAAACTGGACCTACGAGATGCATATTTTAGAGTATGCATCAGGGAGGGGGGGGATGAGTATAAGACTGCTTTTAACACCCCGTTAGGACAGTTCGAGTACCTGGCCATGCTGTTTGGATTGGCTGGGGCACTGGGGGTGTTTATGAATTTAATCAATGAAGTGTTGCACAAGCACCTATATAAAGGGGCCTTAGTTTTTCTTGATGGTATCTTGATATATTCAAAAGATATGGAGTCACATAACAAATTGGTGGAAGACATGCTGAAAGCTCTTCTTGAGAACCACTTGTTTACTAAGCTTTCCAAGTGTGAATTTCACAAAGACGACCTGGACTTTCTGGGATATCACATTTCCAGGAAGGGTTTCTGCATGGATCCAAAAGAAATCCAGGAGGTGGTGGAGTGGGAGCCCCCACAGACTAGGTGACAGTTACAATCATTCCTTGGGTTCGCCAATTTCTATCGTTCTTTCATCCCAAATTTTGCCCTGGTGGCACTACCCCTTACGGACTTGTTAAAAACCAAGGGGAACGGGTCAGGGTGCAAAAAAGCAAGCAGCCAGCTGGATTGGTCCCACAAATGCCAGCAAGCTTTTGAGAGGTTAAAAACATTATTCACCTCAGAACCTGTGTTACATCACCTTAACGAAACCAAGCAATTTGTGGTACAGGTGGATGCGTCAGATGTGGCAATGGGGGGGGCAATCTTACAGAAAGGGGATGATGGGAAATTGTACCCTTTAGCTAATGTATCAAAAAAGTTCTCCAGTGCAGAGAGAAACTGGGCGGTGTGGGACAAAGAAGCTGCTGCCATTAAATTAGCTTTGACCACATGGAGGCACTGGCTGGAGGGGGCTCAGGTTCCGTTTGAAGTTTGGATTGATCATAAAAACTTGGAAGCCCTTAGAGCCCCAAGGCGCCTAAACGCCAAACAACTGAGATAGGCGGAGTTTTTCTCTAAGTTTCGTTTCACACTCAAGCACCTTCCAGGGAAATCGAACTTCCTAGCCGACGCTTTGTCTCGCCTCCCTCAACACACAAGCCAGAGGGAGGAGGTGAGCAACACGATGTTTACACACGCCCAGTTGCGGGGGGCAGTGATGACATGCAGCAGAGTGAAAGGGACACCGCAAGCAGAGGCAGCGTCCTGGATAGGAAAATTTAAATCTGCTCTTACACACAAGGATAAGGCAGAAACTGAGAAAGAAGGGTCTTTAATACAAAAAGAGGATGGGTGCTGGTATCAGCAAAACAAGCTGTTTGTCCCAGAAGCACTGAGAGGAGAAATACCGTTGATGAGGCATGATAAAAAAATTGGCTGGTCACTTTGGATATTTAAAAACTATTAATTTGATACAGAGACAGTTCTGGTGGCCTCGAATGCGTGGGGAAATTTCTAAATATGTGGCCTCATGCCAGACACAGTCGCATACCAGAAGAGAATAACACGGGGAGGGAGGGAAGAGGGACACGTCCCAGAGGAATGGCAGCTCGCTGACAGTTATATCTATGGATTTTATAACAGATCTACCCCCCAAGCCAGGGGAAGACTGCAATATGGATGGTGGTGGACTCGTTTTTGAAACAAGCACATTTTATTCCATGCAAGCAAGTACCCACAGCCAAACAACTGGCACAGATGTTCATGCAGCATATCATTAGACTCCATGTTTTGCCACGCAAAATAATATCAGATCAGGGGTCTCAGTTCGTTGCAAAGTTCTGGATGGAATTAATGAAACTCCTGG